GCTGGCACCCCCCTTCTGATGGCTCCTCTCCCCTAGGAGCGAGGTGGCAACAACTCCTTCACCCATGAAGCCCTCACGCTTAAGTACAAACTGGACAACCAGTTCGAGCTGGTGTTTGTGGTAAGCGGCCTCCCCCAGGCACCCCGGGATGGCAGGTCGGCCCTCCAGCCCCCCCGGATGCCCTGAAACCCTGAGGGAGGGGGATCGCCCTGGAAAAGCGGTTCACATGCGGCTTGGTGGGGGGAGGAGAAGCTGTTTAGTGCCTTCCTGAAGAGGTGAAGCTTTCTGCTGCCTTCCTAAAATCACACGGGCAGCAGCGGCTGACTGGGCGAGGAGGCTGCATCGACGCCGCTTGGGAAAATGGGCAGCTCGTGTGTTGATAGCGTTAAGGTTTTTCTCGGCGTGTTGCTTTCTTCCTCCTCCCTGTGCCAGCAGCTGCCCACGTTGATGTGGAGAAACCGGGGCCCGTTGGCCTTGCGGAAGAGCTGGTGCCGGTTGGGAAATGGCTCCATGGGGATCATACGTTAGGAAAAATTACCTGCAAATTAGCACTGATCCGGTCTGCAAACAGGGAGAGGAATTGCCAGCTCGTTGCGGCTTAGGCTTTAATTGCATAGGGTTGTAGCTCAACTCCCAGCACTGGGTTAGCACCTTCCGGCTCTGGGGTTTTTGGGGGTCAGGAGGTGCGATGCGGGTCTTGTCATTCCTGGCTCCAAAAGAGTCTCGGGCCTGCTGGTGTCCTCCCCAGGGAGCTTGGTGGTCTTGGTGGGTGGATGTGGGTGTCTTTTGGTTATGCACCGCTGTGGTAGCAGCTTATTTTAATCATTTGCAATAGATTAAAGCTCATTAAACCTCAAACAGAAACTGCACAAGTTGCTGCATCCTAATAAAACTTTTTACTTTGACCAGATCTGGTTTTAAAAAAAAGTAGAAATGTGTCACCCCCTTTACTTTAGGGAACATTTTAAAGCTCTCCCTTTCAGTCTCCCCGTACCTTATCTCTGTAAATCCATACAACCTTCGCTGTGTACCTAAAGAGAAGCAAAAGGTTTTCTGGTCTTTTGCGACGTGTCTTTGTTGCCGCGAAACAGTCAACCCATTTTTATTGGTGTCGCCTTTTAAAGTGAAGCTCTGGGCTGTGCCTTTTTTTTTCTTTTTTGCCCTTTTTTTTTTTTTGCGAGCGTATTAAAAGCTTGGGAAGTCAGACTAAATAATGTAGCCTGAAGCCTGCTGAAATTAAAGAACTCTGTATAAATGGAGAGGTTTTCAACTCCTTGCCAGCTAGATGCTACAATTAAATAAGCTGAAAGAGCAATGTCTTTTTGCTGTGCTGCTTTGCAGGTGGGGTTTCAGAAGATCCTGACCTTAACCTATGTCGACAAGTTGATAGACGATGTTCATAAAGAGTTCAGAGACAAATATCGCAATGAGTTCCAGCAGAAGGGCACCCTGGGCCTCCTAAATGGCACCTTTGATTTTAAAGATGACTTCATGCGCCTCCTCCGGTAGGCAAAGCCTAATTTTTCTCTCAAGTTTCCATTTAGAACAGAGATAGACGGGGGTTGCAGAGCTGAAATTCAGGCTAACGGGCCACCTCCCCGCAGGGATGCAGAGGAGAGCAGTAAAGTCCGAGCTCCCACGGTAATGAAGACGTTTGAGCAGTCTCTCAAGTCCCAGAAGACTGTCAAGTGTATGATAGAAACCCGAGGGGAGAAACCAAAGGAGAAAGTCAAGAACAAGAAGAACAAGGGTTCCAAAAAAGAGGGTGAGTTGATGGGAAAGATATATAGGGGTGGGGGGATAAATACTCCAGAGCTCTGTGTTCCAGCCTGCGCTTTCCCAGTCCTCTAGCACCCAGATGCTGGTCTGAGCTTATGTTGGGGTTCTTCCCATCAGGAACTGAAGCTGTTGCAGTGCCCGGTAAAGCATCTGCAGGTGACAAGCAGCCCTCTGTAGCTGGGGACAGGGAGGAACTGACCAAGGATGAAATCCTGCAAAAAAACCGGGAGGAATTCTTCAAGAGACACATGAAAGCAGGGGAGAAGTCCAGGTGGGTAACGAGGACATGGTCAGTCCACCTGTGCTTCAGATGAGCATGGTGTCCCTTCCTCGTGTCCCTCAGCCATGGCTGAGTCTCTCTCCATCCTTCGGTGACCCCCTGGAAGTCAGTCCTTGCTTTCCTTATTTCCCTGCTTGCTGGGAAGACTGGGAGAGGGCATGCTGGAGGGTCCTAGAGGGGTAATAGAGCCTGATCCCTTCCCTGGGAGACTCGGAACCCCAGCGTGTGCCTGGGAGAGGTCCAGAACTCTTCTTGGTGAGGCTTTTCCGTGGTGAGCAAAGGGCAGTCTTGCATCGATGCCTGACTCGAGGTAAAGCGGTCTGATACAGGGTTAAAGTTCAGATAAATAAACTCTGGATCAGCCAGGTTTCGCCTTAATTTCTGCTTTTTTGGGTAATCCAGGCTTTTAATTTTTACTCCTTCTAAGGAGGCGATTGTTGCTGCTTCACTGCACTGAACAAAACGTGTTTCTGGTCTTTATTCCAGCAAATCACCAAAGCCCGAGGCACAGAAGGAGAAGGGGAAGAAACCCCGAGTGTGGGATCTGGGGAACTCTAATGCCAAAGTACTCGATTACAGTAACTCCGCTACCAACGGAAGCGCAGAAGCTTGTCCCATGGAGGAATTTGACCCTGAAATAGTAAGGAAAAGTCAGGTCACTGTGTCCGCTTTAGTGCGTTGTTCTGCGATCGGCTGGGCATTGCAAACCCAGTCTGGTCTCCATGGCCGGCTGAGAAGGTATGAGAAATGGGGGTTGCAGCGCCCAGCCCGTAAAGCTGCTGCCTAAAGGATATTTTCTCCAGCTCTGGCAGCTACAAATGGCGCTAGATGGGGTCAACCCAATAAGCCCTTGTGGCAAAGATCTCTGCAGAGCTGCCTCTGCTGCCAGTGATTTCTGTTGTCGCTGCCTGCGACAGCGAAAGCGGGCAGGGGGAGATGACGGTAAGCAGTTGCTGATTTTCAGGGTGTGTCTTTCTCCTGCTCACAGGCCCTGGGTGATCGAAATCGGGAGCCCGGCCGCCTCTATGACCTTGAGTACGAGAGCGATGACGAAGCTGAAGAGGAGAAGGCTATTCAGAACCCTTCAAAACCCAGGTAGAGGCTCCTGCAGTCAGTCCCTGCTTGTCACACGCTTCTTGATTTCTCTCCCATAACTCCTCTTCCAGTCTAACTGGTAATGTGGTGGGGACAAATTGGCGTGTTTTGTCAGCTGTGTGGTGGGTTCTTCCTGCACCTGGCTGTTGCGTGCCCTGTGCGACTTGCACCTTGAACCTAAAGATGATTCCTCTGCTTCTGTGCAGTTCGAAGAAGGGTGGCCTGGGGGGCATGTTTGGCATGCTAAAAGGCCTGGTGGGCTCCAAGAGCTTGATAAGAGAGGACATGGACCCTGTACTGGAGAAGATGAAGGATCACTTGATCGGTATGTCTGGATTGGCTGTGAACGGGTTAGTCTGAGGTGGTTACCTGTGCTCCACTGGGTGGGCCCCAGTGTGGGGTGCACCCACAGTTTGGGATGTTCTCCAGGAACCATGGTGGGTTCCTGTCTTGCCTCTCGGGAGCCCTTGACAGTGCGTCAAAAGGGGGGCAACGGTCTGGTCTGGTGGGGATCCTGCACACTGACTTCATCCTTCCGTTGATGCTGATGTCCAGCGTGTGTAACCTCCTCAGTAGTTTTAACTCTCCTCTCTCTGTCTCTTTCTCGAAGCAAAAAACGTGGCAGCTGAGATTGCAGTGCAGCTCTGTGAATCGGTGGCCAAGAAACTGGAAGGGAAGGTGATGGGAACATTCACCAGTAAGTGGCCACGTGGCCTCCTGCTTGTGGCTTGGGGCTCAGGAGCGTTCCCCAGGCGTGACAGGTTCTCTTTCCATCTCCTCCTTCCCAGCGGTGACCTCGACGGTGAAGCAGGCCCTGCAGGAGGCTCTCGTGCAGATCCTGCAGCCCCAGCGCCGTGTGGACGTCCTCCGCGATGTCATGGATGCCCAGCGCCATCGCCGACCCTATGTGGTCACTTTCTGTGGTGTCAATGGTGTTGGGAAGTCCACCAACCTGGCTAAGGTAGGACACAGTCCTCCTGGCTCTCTGGGACCAGTGCTGAGGCCAGACTGTGGCTGCTAACAGGCTTTTTCTGATCTTTTGCCACCTACAGATCTCGTTCTGGCTCATCGAGAACGGTTTCAGCGTCCTCATTGCCGCCTGCGACACGTTCCGTGCGGGAGCGGTGGAGCAGCTCCGCACCCACACCCGTCGCCTCAACGCCCTGCACCCTCCAGAGAACCACGGCGGGCGGACCATGGTGCAGCTCTATGAGAAGGGCTACGGCAAGGACGCCGCAGGGATTGCCATGGAGGCCATCTCTTACGGTAGGTGGAAAAACGGTGGTGGGAGACACTGTTTCGGGGAATGTCCAGCTTAATGCTGCCTCGTCTCCCCAGCTCGGAACCAGGGCTTTGACGTGGTCCTGGTGGACACGGCGGGCCGCATGCAGGATAATGCTCCCTTGATGACAGCGCTGGCCAAACTCATCGCCGTCAATGCTCCCGACCTGGTCCTGTTTGTTGGGGAAGCGCTGGTGGGAAATGAGGCTGTGGATCAGCTGGTGAGTGTTGAGGCTTTCTTTCCTGAAAGACTGAGGGGAAAAAGCCCTTTATGGGAGATTTGGACAGCAGCAGCACCACAACTGCATTTCTCCGGTCTGTTCTCTCCCTCAGGTCAAGTTCAACAAGGCCCTGGCTGATCACTCCATGGCCCAGACACCGCGGCTCATCGATGGGATTGTCCTCACCAAGTTTGATACCATCGATGACAAGGTAAGGAGGCCGTGGAGATGACTCTGTGCAGAGCTTCTCGCTGGTGACCAGAGGGGGAGAGGCAAGAATTGTCAAACATGGTGCACTTGTGTGCTGTCCTGGACCCTGACCCTCCCTTCCTCTTGCATTTAAGCCATTTAAACAAAATTTAGCAGTCTTCCATATTTTTAGAAATTTAGCAGACTCTCATACATGTGGAAAATGCGGCCGTGAGGTCCCTTGGTTTATAGGCATTAATGCAGCGAGGCATATAGGGACTGTACAGATCCGAAAAGTAGGAGGAGGCTGAATATTTGACAAGCTTTTCGACACGTTCCCCCGAGGGGGGCAGCACTGGATTTGCAGGCTAATGGTGCTTGTTGTCCTTGGCAGGTCGGCGCCGCCATCTCCATGACCTACATCACAAGCAAGCCCATCGTTTTCGTTGGTACTGGACAAACTTACTGTGATCTGCGAAGCCTTAATGCAAAGGCCGTGGTCGCAGCACTCATGAAGGCCTAAAAACCACCAAATTGCTGTTTGCAGATGTCCGAGAAGAACATGCTTTACCCCGTTATCAACTAGGCTTGCCCGTGTAGTGCAGAACAGAATGAAGGGATGCTGGCGCGAGGGGTACTTCTTTTTGGATAAAACCCCTTTTATCCGGCAGTAGCCCTTCCCCTGGGTTCCTTCATCCTGTTTTAAGTGACACAGGCTCCCTCGCAGGGAGGCTGAATCCAGAGCTTTGTATTGTTCGTGCTGCACGGCTGGGGAGGCGGTGCAAGGACCTGCTGTGCTTTTCAAGGGGTTTGAAGGCATTTTTTTGAGCTGCTTTTGATTTTTAGACCAGCTTAGCGAGGACAGAGGCGTGACTTTTGTCAGGGGTGAGCAGGATAGCTGCTGCTTAGCAGCAGTGTTAGAAGATCTGGCTGTTCATGTTGCTGCTAGTGGCAGCTCCACTGAAGCTGATAAACCAAAAATGGCAATGGCCTGCGCTGGGCTGGAGGGGACATGCTAAGTTGCCTTAAGGTACCCATTTCATTTGTCACCGGGACACCGCAGTAGGGTACCCGGACACCATGTATTTAGGCAGGAGCTGCAAAGCTGTGGCAGCTTGGTCCGATAGTGCTAATGGCAGCTGGAGAAGGAAGGCAGAGTGCTCCTGCCCAGCTCCTGCCTGCTTGCCTCAGCGTTATGTGCTAGTAAAAAGAAAAAAAAAAAATAATACTGGAAGATAATGGTGGCTGCGTGCTGCTTTCCTGCACCCTTTCTTCCCCCCTTTGAGTGCCTCTTGATCCCGGTCTGAAGTGCTACACTGAATAATACAAAACTCTCTTACAATGTCTTGTAGCTCTGTATCGCAGATGTGCTCTAGTGCAATAAATTGAATGCTGTCTGCTAAGAGACATAATTTATATAAAATAAACTCAATAATTTGTTCTCAGTCTATAAATAACTTGCCTCCAGCCAGGACCTGTTTCCTCTGGGGGTGGGGGGGAGAGACAAACTGTGTGAGATGTTTGAGGTAAATCGCACACCAGCCAAAAGTTCGGTGAACAGGCCTTTAATACAAGCTTCAGCATACAAAATACTGTACAGTAAAAAGACGGGGCTAGAAAACTAGAGCTTCAAGTAAAAAAAAAAAAACTGCTCAAGTTTCATGTTTTTAATTGAAAGTACAGAATACAAAAGCACTAAGTATGAAATTAGAGGAGGCTGCAGCTCCCTCAGGGAGACCACGCTCCCCAGGCGCATGCAACCTTGATAAAAAGACAATGACTATGTTAAACCAGGCGTCGTCGATCTGAGGAGGCTCTGCCCCAGCCGCTGTTTGGTGCCTGATGCATCCCGGCTCGGCACGTGTGGGTGGCAGCTCGACAGCAGCGGGCTTCGCTCCTTCCCTAGGCTGGCCTTAAACTGCACAGGCCTCCCTGGGAGCTGCCAGCTCTGGCTTAGGCCCATCCTAGGGAGTCCCCTGCCGCGGCACGGGTCCTGGGGTGAGGCCGATGCTCAAGTGCTGCATCCTACGGGAAAGTAAAGGCTCTGCAAAACCTGCCTGAGGGGCTAGAAAGGGCGAAGCCTCTCTTGGCTCGGCAGAGTCTTACCTTTTATCTCGCCGTGGGCAGCAGCAGAGCCGTTCAGCTGTTGTCCCTCCTTAGGCACACCTAGGAGAGAGCGCAGAGCAACAGCCGGGTGGAACGGCAACCTCGAGGTGACTGCACAGACACAGGGAGCCCCTACA